AAAGTCACTTGTTTCTTTTCTAAATAAATAAGCTGTTTGAACGGATCGGTTGAATGAATGACTGAATTACTCACTTATGAATTGACTGCCACCTATTGGTCTTAATATTTAAACTATATTTCATTAAAAAAACATAGTGCCATATTCAGTTTCAATTTATTAATATTCATAAAATGTAATAAATATATAAAAAAAACACATGCACATTTAAAACCAGTAATCTACGGGTAAGCTACATCTGACAACATTTTTGTTATTTAGACAGCCAAAACCATTTTGAGGTTAACTGAATTAATTGTGTGTCTCTGGAAAATAATGATGCATGACATTGTATTATGTTGAATGAAAAAGCTTTCTGAGCCTATTTGTTAATTAGGGAAATGTGGACACAATGTTTTTAGATTTGTGGAGTAAAAATTATAGTTTTTATGAAGTAAAAATATATTTGGCACAGAAGTGGCATGTTGTTACTAGTGTTATTATTTCAAAATGTAATGCTAATTGTAATTAATGGGGTTATTATTTAACATTTCCATGAATTATTTCAGACATCTTTGCTTTTGTTAAAACCTGTAGGTTAACCATTGCATTTGTAGTCATAGTGTTGCTATATGACATATCTTCAATTAAAATATTTAATTAAATATGTAAATATTCATATGCTTGTATATACAGGTGCATCTCAATAAATTAGAATGTCGTGGAAAAGTTCATTTATTTCAGTAATTCAATTCAAATTGTGAAACTCGTGTATTAAGAATAATTTTGCCTTTCAGATGAATCTTTCTGCTTTGTCTGTCATTGGTTATTCAATTATTCAACAAAATTGTCAAAATAAAAATTTAAATAGAATAGTTGATTTAGTATTTACATGAATGCCACTTTAAAAATATATAAATGTAACTTTATATTATTTTACATTTTTTGTGCTTAACTAAATCAGCAAATGTTTAAATTTATTTCCTATAACTTTGGCTGATGCATCATTATCATCGTGCACATGTTAAACTTATCTAATTACAATTTAAAAGTAAATCCACACTGTTCTTTAAGAGGGCATCTTCCTCCATTCTACCCTACCTAAATGCCACTTCACATGCTCAGAAAACCATGTCATGGCCGCATTATAGCCTTAAAAGTTTATGTGTTGAATCAAAATACTTCTTTTTAAAGCTACTTATGGTAACGTCTATTCTTTTCTCATTTAACAGAATTATGACTTTAAATGATCTTTTGGGGAGGGATTTCTCAGCCCAAATTGAAGTGTGATTAGTTAGCAATTAATTTGATTAATCAACATCATATAATTAAAATTAGATTACAAAATTTTAATTGTTTGACAGCACTAATTAGTATATATCAGAGGCGTGCAATCCATATAAGGAGTGAATGCTCTGCATACCCAAGCCATTTGGCTAAACTGACTGGCTATATATTAACATTACTATGAATTCCCTTGTCATCTGATGTGTAACATAAAACTTGCATAATAAAATGTTGGGAATACACACGTAACTGTCCTTACAACAGTAATTTTCTGCAAATCTGTGCCAGTTATGTAGGGGTTTGAGTAAGTGGATCTACAGCAGCTTTGGCGCCTACACTCTATTTGCTATGAATCGTCATTATTGTTCTGTATTCTCATAGGTTAATTGGTGTGTGATTTCATGCACAAGAAAATAGATAGATAGATAGATAGATAGATAGATAGATAGATAGATAGATAGATAGACGTAATATATAAGAATACTGTGATAAATGTTAAGAAAAGTTTCAAAAATGTGAAAAACTGAATGTCTATATTAGCCATGTCTGGCTACAAATTAGTATGACAGAGCTGCATATGGGCAAATTTTTGTAGCTTGTACTATTTTCATGCCAAATTGCACAACTTTACATTAGGTCAATTACAACTGCACCAAAGTCATCTCATAAATCTTATGTGAGATAAATATACAAATAATTGGACTGAAAAGCTAAAAAGTTACTCTGCACTGAAGTTTTAAATATTTTTTGAGCTAACTCTGGTATAGTGAGGGATCCATGCTGGCTAAAATGTCTGAAGGAAAAATCTTGAATTTCCTGTCTTTCATTGTCTAAGATATGTCTACCAATGCCCATATGATTTAGCCAGTCAGCCAACAGCATCTAATATAGCCAAAATTGCCAAAATGAAAATAAGTGATGAAAACACCAAGATGAATACATTCATGTGCTTCCAGACTGTTCTAAAAATATACTGTGATCTAGCATTGTGTTCCACACACCCAATCATGCTGTCTTTCTGAGTTAAACTGAAAATCAGCTTTGTACTGCATGCCAAGCCATACATTCAGTCATATTTAATAAGACACAAGTTCACGTTTGTCTAGAAGTAAATCATTTTTACATTTTACTTTTAAAATGTACCCATTTTACTGTCATCATACAGTTCATTGTGGTGTGGGGGGGGCAAAAGTTGTTCAGCATTCCAGTATCAGAGTTAAAGCAACTGCTCTAGTTACTAGCACTCAGTGAGAAATAATGGATACCAGACAGAGCTTTATTTGTGAATATGAAAACAAAGAATATTCTTTTGGGGTCAATGAGCAGCAGAACTTCAGCAGTGTCACTGAAACACATCGTGAGTCATTCCTAAACTTTTGGTATACATGCACACTGATAGCTTACTGTGCTGGCCATGTGCTGTGTGATAACTTTCACTAGCACTCATGAAAATTATTTTTTATTCTTTTTCTGATACAACATTTCAATTACAAATTATATTATCTGCACAACAAGCTGAGTGAAAAATTAACACGAATGTTGGAATGTCTTAACATTTGGTTTGACAATGACCATCTTGTGCTTCAATGCAGCAAGAACATCTTACCATCTTACAGCACTTCACATGATCAATGCAATTAATTTTCTTATTTGATTATTGAACTACAATCTGAAATATTTATTCAATTTACCTCAACAAAAAAAATTTCCTTTGTTTTTAAAATGGTCTAAAACTTTGTTTATTTCCAAGATAAAAAATATCTTCCAAATTGTCAATGTGCTCTTTTGACTGAGCATATACTTTAACCACAGATAGATAAAGTTCACTTTAGGTATAGATCCCGTTAAATGCAATTATTTGAACTCACACTGATCTATTAGGAAGAATCTAGGGTTTAAAGGGGTCGTATGATGCGATTTCAATTGTTCCTTTCTCTTTGGAGTGTTACAAGCTCTTGGTGCATAAAGAAGATCTGTAAAGTTGCAAAGACTAAAGTCTCAAATCCAAAGAGATATTCTTTATAAAAGTTAAGAGTCAGCCACACCTACCTAAAATGCCTCGTTCTAACACGCCCCCACATATCTACGTCACTATGCGGGAAGATTTGCATAATGCCACCCAAATGTTCACGCAAAGAAAGAAGGCGTAACTTTTATTCTCGCTGTAGTATTGTTGTTGCCGCTGCTGCCATGTCGTGGAGATGCTGTGTGCTTCGTTGTGAAAGCGAAACTACTTTGTTTGGCCTTCCAAAAGAGGACGATATCCCCTTCGTCATACCTGGAGCTGATCCGTGCTGGTCGCCGAGGAAATACTACAACTTGGTGCTGTGGATCACCGGATCGGCTTTCACCGTGGACGAAGCGGAGTTTAGCTCGGGGTCGTCACATGTAGTTGCCGCAAGCCCTCCAGACGCTCCTTCGTCGAATCCGCCGACCGCGCCGTTCTCAAGCCCGCCGCCTCTGCTCACTCTAGCCCTCTGGCCGTTCCTCACTCTAGCCTCTGCTCACTCAAGGCCGCGGTGTGTGATGCTGTTTCGTTGTGAAAGCGAAACTACTTTGTTTGGTCTTCCAAACACGACAAAAACTAGAAATCAGTGGTTAAGTTGTATTTACAACACTGTTCCAGGACCCTTCAACCCAAATATTCAGATGTGTGCAGCACAAGTGTAAAAAAGATAGTATAAATCATTATAATCCGCAATTATGTCCCCACTGGATGCAACAAATGCCTCGTTTATAATGGGTTTTCATGTTTTTGAATCATCACTCCGGCCGGACAGGGCAGTATCACAGTATGGTGAGGGGCGTAACATTTCCGTTACACGCTTGAGGTATTCGGCCAATCACAACGCACTGGATAGCTGGCCAATCAGAGCACACCTCGCTTTTCAGAACGATGAGCTTTGTAAAAATCGACGCGTTTCAGAAAGGCGGGGCATAGAGGAGAAACAATAACAGTATGTGGAAAATAATGTGTTTTAAACACATTTCATTACACCAAATACACAAAATAATGTTCTTTTTAGCAATATCATATGATCCCTTTAAATGGAAACTGTGTGTTGATGAGGTATGCTTGAGGCACACTCTGTGTACATTAAATTTGGGTGATGGAGAAGTGTGTAGAACAATTTAGAATTCAGCAGAGAGAAACAGAGAGCAGACAGCTTTTCTCATAGACGGGGGAATTCTCATCTTCTGCACAACTGCACAGTTTATCATCAGCATCAACTCTTGTGGCATCTTTAATAAGGCTCTTTAATAAGGGATAATAAGTCACCCATCTGTTACTAGAGAATATAATCATCATATTTGTTGAACATTTAAATACAGACAAATAAGTAATATCTGAACAAGAAGAAGGTGAATAACATTCATGACCACATAGCCTACATGGAGAAACAATCCGCCTTTCCAAATATTCACAATTTAGTTTGAAACGTCCACACAAAAAGAATATTAAAACATAAAGGGTGATGTTATGCTTAATGAATTAGTCAGCTTTAAGCAATGACACATTAGCAGGGTCTTTGAATAACTTGAACATCACCCATCATCTTCTCACTCCTACGCAGCGCACTCATCCCAATATAGTTCAGAAGCTAGTGTACATGTTAATATTTGCACAAGAAACCAAGATATTAAACATCTCTATCCACATTGAAGCATACAAAAATGCTTCTGATTTCTGTCACAAGACATATCAACCGACGGTCAACCAAGCCATCTCCTACCTATCAGTGGTTTGGGTGTTGTATTCCCCATTATTTCCAATAATTGCTCTCCCTTGGTGACAAGTGGATCGCGAATGCTTCTACTCCTGGTGTGTCCATTTATTATCAGATAGCTATACGGAATATTTTCGTAATCGCAGCTGTGTGAAATCTCTAGGCGTCTGAGAGTCGCAGCGTCTTCATACTATCATGCACACAGAAGCGGCTTTTCAAGCTATTGGCGCATTGGCCAGCCAAACCCTCCCCACGCCTGATCATCCTACAACCCATCTACAGCGGACGCGACGCGACCATCAACAACGCTGTCGTTATAATAAACAAAACTGGCTGCACTGTAAGCGCGCACATCGATTCGTAAAGCCTTGCGTTTAAATGAAGCTCGCGGCAAAATGTATCAGTTAACGCGGGGAGCTCAAGAAGCGTTTTAAAAGCTAAACTATTTTTAACTTGACACGCGTCTTAAAACGCATCCCTGATAAAAACAGCGAGACGCAACGCAACGGCGCATGTGTACATATCAGAGACGCGTCCTGTGTTTCAAACGCGACGTCGATTCTTCCAGCTTGAAGAGAACATTCACTCTTGACGCGTTTTTGTATTCAAGAACATCTGGTCGTGCGGGTCTTTTTAAAATTGAAATATTTTTAACTTGATACGCCGTCTTAAAATGCAACGCTCATGGCGCGAGACGTGACACAAGGGCAAAGGGCAAAATACGTACCTCTTATGTAGCCTAGACCCCAACACAACGCAACAAAATAATGTTACATATCTTGGTACAGATGTGTTTATTAGATTTCACGATATTTACATTATACTCCAAGGAGCATCAACAAACATGGTACTACAGTTGTACAGGTCCAAAAATCATAGTTTTGTCAATGGTGTATATAACTCAACTAACTTGAACTAAATAAATATCAGTATTTGTTGGTCAAACTAATTTAATTAAAATAAATAAATATGCTATACATAAAAAACCCTAAAAAACCCTAAAAAGGATAAAAATGTAATATTACATCAGTTATTTATGAAATACAGCTTATTTTATGTAAATCACCTGGCTCTTAGAAATTAAATTAGTTTGTTTTTTATAATTCCCTTTTTCTCCAGAAATGTTTATTCAGATATAATCTAAACTTTGCATTTAAAAAAATAAAAATAGCAAACAGGCCAGCAGATATCAAAGCACTTAAAAGACATAAAAAAGAAAACCAGATTAGTCCCTAAATGTTTCATGACTACAGAATAATTGTGGGTATTTTTGAAAATGACACAAACCCCTTACGAGGAAATCCCCTTTCTACCCCAACCCCCATCCTATCTCCTCACAACCTTGACCGCTGGGATCCATGCAAGCTGCTTCCTGTCTTATGAGCTGAAGCTGTCTCTGAGGAGCCTTGTCCAAACAGACCTAGCCCATGATTGCCGGCCGCAGGCCAACTGCTATTAAATCTGCCCCAGATCTTTTCAGGAGAGGTTATGTTCATGCACACTATGTCACCTAGTGTGACCATTCCGACAGTGACAATGCCCACGGTCATTCCATATTCATGCATATAAAATAATTGCAAAATAACTATAAGGTTTTACTTACAGTTGATGGGGCAGGACTGTTATGACGTAGTCCATTTTGGGAAAAAAAGTGCAAGTATGGATTTCAAAGAACATCAGTGGGATTTTTAATGCATGAAATGCCAGCTATTTCCAAGGGAAATAATGGTTTTAGATGTTACCCATATAACGAAGCAATCTTGCAATATACTTTCATATTAAAGCCATTATATTGTAATATAACTGTAGCAGATTTTTGGTGAAGTGCAGTTTAATATATTTATATCAATGTATTCCTCTGTACCAGACAGAAATGGTGACCCTCCTGTTATGCACAGTATATGTAAATATACACAGGGCCAATGCACAATGAAATTCTTCTCAAACGTTTGTCATGGTTCTAGAAGGAAAGGCAGCAATAACTGTAGTTATAGTGCGGAGACTATTTGCACTGTAAACAAACATCACATGAATAAAAGCATAAAAGCTCTTTGTTTGGGATAGAAAGATATCTGGCAATGGGATGCATACTATGAGCTCTTGTTGCAAATATGAAACAAATACTATATTATGTGAAATTACATAATATAAAAAATTACAATTCATAGGAAGATTTAAAATTTAAAATAAATGAAGGTTATTGTCAGGATTTTTTGCATTGTGTTGCAAAAACACTACCTGATTTTTTTTGTTATTATTATTCACAGTGTTGATTGTCATTACCATAACTGTGTCTCCCCCCCCCCCCCACCCCCCCCCCCCCCACGCAACCAACTACCCTCT